CTCTGCGCCTGATACGACACTGGCTAACACGCCAATCATCCCCCCCAATGAAAAATATTTTTCTACGCCACTGGCCGTGTGATTTCGAAAGTTGCCGTGAATTTTGAAAGTGTGCCGTGACATTTCGAAAGTTGTTGCCGTGACACCTTTGGACCACCGTATTTTTATATCTCTTTCTCTTTGTTCTGCTGATAAGCACCTTCTCATACACCTAATAAACCCCTTACAAAACTGATCAAATTGTGGAAGGTCTTTTGCATGTTTCTACGCTTTGGAATAAACTTCTTAAAATTCACTCTTTTTCGACTGTTTATTTTTTTCTTTCAGAGTAGGTCTCACTTTTATTAATACACAGGGTAGCGTCGTAGCCTTGGCAGTTCACGTGTAGCCACAGGCTACCTTTCGGTGGAAAGTTCCGAGGGCACCAACCGGGCTGCCTTTTGTGGATTATTCGCGTATAATAAATTGCCACATTGAGACAACGACATTACTATGGCATCGGTGGGTGACACCACTTAAATGTCACCGTCTCTTGCACACCGCTGCTCATTTTAATCTCAATTATTGTTTTAATTTTATAATGTTACCTCGAGGTTGTTTAGCATTAGGCTCTATATAGATATTTATTATTCTTATTATTATTCTTCTTATTATTATTATTATCATTATTATTATTATCATTATTAATATTATTATTATCATTATCAATATTATTATTTTTAATTGAGTATTAATTATTATTATTGTAATTATTGCTATTATTGTTATTATTATTTAATATTATTTATATTATTATTATTCAGACATTATTATTATTATTATTATTATTATTATTATTATTATTATTATTTATTATTATCATTATTATTATTATTTATTAATTAATAATTATAACCATTGTTATTATTATTATTATTATTTATTATTATTATTATTATTATTATTATTATTAATGTTTCTTTGCTTATGGTTCGTGATACAAGTTTAATAATTCAGTATTTAGTGTTATTATTATTTATATTATTATTATTAAAGTTCCTTGCTTATGTACAATCAAATAGGCCTACAATAATATTATTTTAATTGGCGTACGTGATACAAGTTCAATTATCACTATTATTATAGGCCTATTATATTAAAATATAGATCACACTATATTCTCAAGCGGTTGTTAGGATCATAAAATTAGGCCTAGGCCTACCATGTAGTGCAGAGGCATGCAATATAATGGATTCTCAAGTTCTGAATTCAAGCCTCCTAATTATATAAATTTTATTTATATTACAGTGACTCTGGGGAGGGGATGTGCCCTGAAACCCACCAGATTATAGGCCTACTAGACGAAGCGCCAACCCAAACAAAATGAAGCGTCACTAAAATGTAATAACTGATCAATGAGAATATAAGCAGTCGCCTTCGCAGTCGCCTACACTAAAAGGGTCTCCGTGGTCCAGCGCACACACAGGCAGCTACCACATTTATATTTAGAGTAAACTGTGTTTCCTTCATGATTGTAATTCGTTGTCTAATAATTATTGTGGACTAATATTGCATGTTTATTTGTTAGCCATGTATTTAATGCCAAGTGCAATAGTAGTATCAATCCCGTATGTCCTCCAATCATGGAGATATTTTATACCGCCATGCTCCAATGTTGGTGACGGATTTTTCTCGGTATGTTGTATTTCCTCCCGGTCTTTGACACTAAATAGCCAAAAAGGCAGTTTCTTCTCTTAATTTACAAATACGACACGAATTGGACCATATCTATTAAAAAGATGTAGGCCTATGGACCTTCTGCACTAACCAAACATTTGTATAGTGTAAAAAAAATAAAGAATTTGCAACAGAAAGGGTGTAAATACTGGCTGTAATTTTGTAGAATAATTTAATCTGTTGAGCATATTTTTAAATTCTTTTATCATTGTTTAATTCATATATGTATTTAAACTCGGTATGGATAGGTAGGCCTATCAATTTAAGTTAAATTTTCGCATTCAGAAGAGGACGTACTATATGCGCGTGATGTTGTTTGTAGTTGCTGTTCGCCGGTCGGTCAATTACTTTCCTGTACTACCGTACTGATTTTATTCTGTATTTCAATTCGATCGATTGGGTCGTGACAAACTGCGAGTCAGCGAGGCATGCGATTAATGCAAGCCATCTACCGTCGTATCTACGTGAACTACAATTCATGCGAGGCAGGACGAAGTATAACTGCAGTATTGTACCAAAAGTGCGAGGCACCTTGAAACAGGTTTAAGCTCAGTAAAAGTGACAATGACAATATTTTAATATAGATTATGAGGTTCATATTACCTTCTCATCGAGTACTACTAAAATCAAACGATTTCCTTCTATCAAAAAAGTGAACCCAGCCCGGCCATATCCCTCGCTTTAGTATGAATCGCGACGGAGGCACCCTCGCCAAC